AAGCCGGCCAGGTATTTCCATGAGCAGTGCTGACATCCAGTGCCCCACTCTAAGGCCAGAGGGCCTGTGTGTGGCCAGTGGGTGCCTTTTGTGAGTCCCTGCATCTTTGTAGTTGCAGTCACCCCCTTGGACCAAATACTGGAGACCCCTGGCCCAGGGGGGCAGTAGCCTTCACTGCTCTCCACATCGCACGTCCGTCTCTCCTCCAGTTGGGTTTTGAAGCTCAGCCATGGGACCTCTCTCAGCCTCTCATGTCAGGCAGAGAAAGGTGAACTGTCACTCGTCTTATTCATCTCGAGTGTCCTGCAGGGCCTCGTTATGGGACCTGGAGCACAAGAGGAGCTGTTTATTTGAGACTGAAAACCAGGCTTGACTGCGTCCCAGGGATGGGTCGAGCAAGCGTCCGTTCCGTGTCTGTCCCAGGGACGCTCCTGCCTCTGGCGGCTCATGGGTCACTTAGGATGGAAGTCGGAGCCGTGTCACCCTCTGCCTTTCCTCCTCCTCTTCCCTTCTCCTTCTACTTCTAGTTATAAGGAGGGAGGAGGGGGCCAGCTCTGTGCTCCTGGACAAACTCCCAGCCCCCCACCGCAACCCTCACATCTCTGTCGCCACCTGCTTTGAAATCACCAGGATTCATCTCCCGAGGCCCTTTTTCTCTTAAAGCCCTGGTGTCCAGCTCCCCCGTCTTCCCCTAGGCCCTCATCCCCTTACCTCTCTGTATGACCCTCTCCAGGCCCATCCCTTCCTGTCCCATCAAGGTCGTTGCTGCAACAGGCATCTCCTTTCTCTCCTGCATCATCAACTTTTTCCCCTCCAGGGGACCAGAAGCATCAACCATTCAAAGTGCCCTAATTTCTCCCATCTTAAAAAAGAGCAGTTTCCCTGGATCCCCATACTCCTCTCTGGCTCCATATCACACTGACTTCCTCCTCCCGCTCCCTCCATCAGCAGCTCCTTTTTACCCCCATTACTGGCCCTCCTGGTGACCCACCCTCTCGCTTCACCTCCCAAGCACCCTCCTTCAGTCTCATGGCTTTAAATATCACCTGGCAACCCCCAAATATTTGCCCCGAGTCTAGATTTCTCCACTTTATGCCCAACACCTACTTCATATCCTGCTGGGCTGGCATTGTGGGCCTCCAGGGGAAGTTTGTACAGTCTGTGTATTGGTCAGAACCAGGCCCAGACCCTAGAGCCAGTGGCTGAGTACATCCAGTTCTCAACCTGGCAAGCTTCTGTTACTGAATTTAGCATCCAACACTGGGCCAAGACAGACTGGTTCCTGCCAAGTTGAAAACCAACCAACCACTGCCGTGGATAATAACTCCTTTTCTTCTGAGATTTTTTTCACATTGGATGTTATATCTGAAACCTTAAATAATGCAGATTCACTGGAACACCATCCTTTTTTTTTTTTTTTTTTGAAAAGCTCTTCTTGGTCATTAGAACAGTACTCCTGGAGCTGTCACTAGGAGTCAGCAGCCCGCACATCCATGGAGGTGATATTCACCCTCCTTCCCCCTGAAATATTTAGCATATTTATCATTTTAGTGACTATGTCCAAGCCCACATAACGCACACTTTTAGATGCATACATTTGAATTTATTCTCTTCAAAAGGAGCTACACGTGCGGACACGTGCAGTATCCTCTAAGCAGAATGCACAGTAGAGGGGGGAAAAAATGCCTTTCCATGAAGAATTCGAATTTATACCAAGAAAAAAAAAGGAATGAAAGGTTGTAACATTAGAAACCTGGCAGGAAAATAACAAGACAAGGGGAAAATATTGTTTAAAAATACCTCTTGCCAAGCAGTTTGTAAGTTACACTGTTACATTCGTAGATTTGGGTAAGGGGGAACAAAGTGAGTGAAGTGAAAGTAGCTCAGTCCCATCTGACTCTTTGCAACCCCATGGACTGTTTAGTCCATGGAATTCTCCAGGCCAGAATACTGGAGTGGGTAGCCTTTACTGTTCTTCAGGGGATCTTCCCAACCCAGGGATTGAACGCAGGTCTCCCACGTTGCAGGCAGATTCTTTGCCAGCTGAGCCACAAGGGAAGGTCGAGAATACTGGAGCAGATAGCCTATCCCTTCTCCAGCAGACCTTCGTGACCCAAGAATCAAACCAGGGTCTCCTGCATTGCAGGTGGATTCTTTATGAACTGAGCTACCAGGGAAGCCCCAGGGGGAGAGAAACAAGCTACCAACAGCAACCACTCTGTCACAGATTATCCTGTCTGTGGCTGACTGACAGGTCACAGCCACAGGTTTCCAAAGGGAAAAGGGAGAGAGAAGAGTGTCCTGAGGGGGAGGGACAGAAGCAGGTCCATTTCAGGCAGGATGGAGGGCAGAAAACGGAGAAGGCAGGGAAGGTGTGTCCCCGAGGGAACCTGCAGTTAATGACACACTTCCGTGAGATCGTCTTGGGGTCATGATTTATTTCAGCCCAGCTTCTGTTTATGTTGATGCTTCACTAGGGTAGTTCAGCCCCTTCACCCAGGTAGTAAGCTGGTGACTGTGCGGGCAAACCTCCAGGGCAGCCCTCTTCGCCCTTTTTGAGTTGCTCCCCCATTTTGCACGATTCCTGCCATGATCACCTTGCCCCTGTGTCCTGTGGAGGCTGAACATCACATTTTCTTGGCCTGCAACGTGAAACAAGTTGAGTAAGTGCTAAGGAACGAGGATGCTGAGCTTCGCAGGCTGCACAGCGGGGCACTCGCCTGTTTCCTACAGGCAATGAGGGGTCGCAGGGCTGATGTCTCTCCCTGACCCCAGGATGGGCAGAATCACTCCCCGGTTCTCATGGAGCTTAGAGAAGGGGCTAAAGCACAACGTGACTAGTTGTTTAGTTAACAGAACCAGACATGTGAGTGTTAACACGACCAACTCTTCTCTCATGGAGTGTTTACAGTGTATGAGTTTAATCCTTGTAATTGTTTATATTTAAATTTTTAAGCCATATCCAGTTTTTCTAAATAATTTATTCCCTGAGTGTTTACTGGCATAATTTAGCTACAAAAAACTTAGAGAGTCATTTGTTTAGAAAGTAGTCTACCACCATACCACCCTGAACACACCCGATCTCATCTGATCTCAGAAGCAAAGCAGGGTCTGGCCTGGTTAGTACTTGGATGGGAGAAAGCATACCTGGAGAACTTCTAATCTATCTATAGTTAGATAAATGGAATGGCTCCCAGTGTGCCAGCATTTGAAAGAATAAAACCAATTAGATTTTTTTTTTAAGTTTTCAAATTAGATTAAAAAAATCAAAATTGAAAACCACTGGGCTTTTTGTCAGTTTCATGAATTTGAGCCATGTTATTTTTACATGGATGGCTGTTTTCACCTATTATTCATCTTTTAAAACATACATGTTTTAACTTAAAATTTTTCTTAGCAGTTTAGTTAAAGAAGTACTATCCTTCAAATCTACCACTTGGCCATGTGTTCCAGTATTGGGGTGTATACTTCAGGTGTTATTACAATAAAAAATGGTAATAGTGATATCTTCAAGGTTCATTTCTTTCAAACAGAATAGCAGGAGATCTCCATGAAGTGGTCAGAAATAAAAAAGTCCTGTAAAGAGTCATTCTATCAAAAAAAAAAAAAAAGTCATTCTATCCTGAAGGGCTTGTATTAATAAGGTATGATTTTTGCATCACAACTACCCTCCTTGCTACCGTCGACTGGATTGGAAAGAAGACATGGTTTCAGGTGTCTCCTGCCTTGTGTTTCTCTGATCTTGACCAGTTCCATCTGTCTGATGGCCACAGCCATGTTTAGGGTCCAGAATCTCGTATAAAATCTTAATATGAATAACTTTTGAAAGAAGCATTTATAGGTTCCCAGTGAAAACAGATGGCAAGTTATAGTCTATTCTAACCCCTGACTTCCCTGCTGTGACTCAGACCAAGCCCCATGTGGCGCGCATAGGACACAGTGATGGTTAAAACCTAGCGAAAGGGTAGAAAGGACTGGTACCAAGAGTCAGTGTTAATTTCATTTTTCCCAACAAGAAGAAAATTCTAACGTGGGAGATTTGGATGTAAAATCCCCACTTTCCCAACGAGCTGTATCAGTAGGGAGGGGACGTGATGGCTCAGATGCCGAGGGCTGTCATGTTCTGATGAAAAAGGGAGAAGCCCTTAGAAAGTTGATTCTGTTTAGTGAATAGAACATTAGAATCCTAATATTTTTCATCCCAAGCTCATTTAGCAGAGGTAATGGATATTTCATCAGACATAGATTTGACATTCCATTGCATTATACTGTAAACAGGACGGACGGTGTTTGGGAAATGGGAGAGCTAAGACAGTAGCCACTGGCAGGCCCTGGTTATCTCATTTAAACAGATACCAATGTGGGCGACAGGAGTGTGATCATCGGCTGCTTCCCACTTTGTGAATAAATTGCTTAGAAGGAGTCTTTGCCTACCAGATGTGACCTAGATTTTGCTTTTCAAAGGCAGGGGGGTGGGGGGGAATATCTCTATTGTGTTAAAAAAAACACATTGCTGGTAAAATGCACAGTAAATGAGCTTATCTCCCCTCTCCAGGTGTTTGGGCTAATATGTTATGGAATTACTGCTTCATTTATGAAAAATAATTGGGGGAAGTGTTCCAGCAAATCAAATTTGGATAAAGGCTGAGGATGTCTATTGTGTTGTTAGCAAGTTTTTAAAAAGGCAGAAAGATCAGGGAGCCCATAGAGATAATAAAAATATTTTAAAAACTGTGTTTGAGAAGAGTCTCTCATAAAAGGGTCAGGCGTGGGTGTGCTTTCCAACTAGTGTTGGGGTTTAGTGAAATATGGAAGAACAATGAGAACAATTACACCCCTTTCAGCGCCTGTGAAAGCTGCTGAAAAAAATCAAAGCCCGTCTGTCTGCTGGCTCCGATAAGTCTTACGACTCTGTTAAAGGCGGCGACAATTTTAAAAGCTAACGTTTATATTCTCCCTTACCCACCGAGTCTCTTTTCTTGTCTCCCCCACTCCTGCAGGAGCCGTCACTCCAAAACCAGTCCCAGAACCCGAGAAGCAAACAGACCACACAGTCAAGATCGCGGGGGTCATTGCTGGCATCCTGCTGTTCGTGATCATATTTCTCGGGGTCGTGCTGGTGATGAAGAAAAGGTGAGCCCCTGGCTGTTGCCATGCAGGTGCTTCTGGCCCACTGCTGGCCAAGAGGCTTCTCATGTGTGAAAGTGTTCTGTTGCTCCGTTGTCTTGGATGACTGAGCCGCACCTGTGGCTCTGGTGGTTCGTATTTGCATCATGTAGCAGTCAAGGTTATGGGAAAACATCTGGAGTCCGCAGCTGTGATTTTGTGTGACTGTGAAGAGCTTCTTGTGCCAGGCCAGCGCTAAGGATCAGCTGTCTTCCCACCAGTTGGTACTTAAAGCTCAGCAGAATCAGTAAAATCACTTGTTCACCAGGAAATGTTCAGTATTAATACTTATTACCAACAGAATAGATCTTGAGGATACAAGCAGAGAGACTTCTTCTCATGATAAGGAAGATAAAGACAATGACAGAGTTTCTTGGGCCTGCATTATACGCAGGCACCATGTCAGGGGATTAAACAGCACAGTATCCGCGAGAGAGGAACTCTCAGGGTCAGCCAGACAGCGACTCAGGGCATGGACATATAAGGACAAGGACGGAAACATGGTGGGTGTAGTAAGGGTGCCCTTTCTAGCCCAGGATGGTCAAGAGAGGAGAAAAACATGTATGGCTGCAAAAAGCAATCGTCACCTCCAACACATGAAAAATACACAATCTCTTTTGTCTTGTGGAGGTGAGAACTTGCTTAATAATACAGTATTCAGTTTATATAAAAATGATCAACATAAAAGATAGATGACAAGAAGCAGTAAGATAAATTATCCATTTTTATGTGGTTTAAAATTAGTTATAAACAATTATATCCTACTGTATAGCACAGGAAACTATATTCAATATTCTGTGATAAACCATAATGGAAAAGAACATGAAAAAGAATATATTGAATATATACATATATATATATATATATATGTATGCATGTAAAGAACCACCACATTGCTACACAGCAGACATTAACACAACATTGTAAATCAACCAACTTCAATTTAAAGAAAAATTAAAAACAATGCTAGAGTGTGAGCAAAAGTGCAGATTGAGAGGTTGACAAAGCCAAGTCAGGGAGGTCTTGTCTGGTCATCTAAGGAGCTAGACCTGGTTGTTAAGTCCACTGGTGTCCTTTAAGCATGTAGTAATGGGATGTGCTTTTTCTATTTGAAAGATCACTCAGTGTTAAGGTTGAGCCCAGCGAGGAGAGAAAAAGGCTTGAGGCAGGAAGACCAGCAACTTTAGAAACGTCAGGAGGTTGCAGCCACTTGTAGGCCAGTCTGGGGAGCCGAAGAAACACAGAAAGAACCTGTTGTTGGTGCGGCCATTGGCGGGAGTGTCCCCAGTCATTCGTGTATACGAGCTAGGACCTGCGGGGCATGAAGAGGGGACCTTAGCCCTGCACTTTTATGTCCAGTCTTCCTGTGCTGTGGAGTGGACATGTCCCCTGGGCAGGCCGACTGTGCTGGCATGCCCCAGGAACAGTGCTGTCCATAATCAGAGTCGTCCATCCACGTGTGCCCGGCTAAAGCCGGGGCTCGGACGTGGGCGCTCAGGGCTACTGTCAGAGGGAGGTCGAGGGTAAAGGTCAAATCTTGGGTCAGAGGGATATTTAAGGGATGAACTAATATCCAAATGTACAGGCATACATATACAGCTTTCCTTGCTTCTTCTTTCATATTTTGTTTACTGGTCCAGTGAGGCCTCAGGACGAGGCTCTGTCCTGGCTCATACAGGCCTAGCTGGTCCCCATTATTTCAGCTCCTCCTCCGTCTTGTCATTCACCTTTTCTTCTTTTCTCGTTGGTCACACATCATTTAATTTCACTTCATTTTTAAAATATTCTTTCTTGTGTTGAGAACTTTTGTGATCTGCTCTCTTAGCAGCTTTTAAATATATAGTGCTATAGTGTTGTATATATAGAGAGATTCAGATGGTAAGAATCTGCCTGCAACGCTGGAGACCCAGGTTTGATTCTTGGGTCAGGAAAGATTCCCCTGGAGAAGGGAACTGCCACCCAGACCAGTATTCTTGCCTGGGAAATACTATGGACGGAGTATACTGGTGGGCTACAGTCCATGGAGCTACAAAGAGTCGGATCCAGCTGAGCAATTAACACTTTCTTACTTACTTACTAGTATAGTGATATTAAGTACAGCCACGTGCTGTTCATCCCATCCCCAGAACTTCTTTACCTTATAGCTAGGAGCCCCCTTCTCCCTCTTCACTTTGCTTATCCCTGGCTTCCTTTTCTTTTATCTTCTCTGCATCTCTAGCTGTCAGTCTCTAGTTCTTTCTCCCTTACATCTCTGTCTTTTTCTTCCTGTTTTACTTCTTCATCACCCCTCATCCACTTTCTCCTGGATGCTCTTTTTCTCTCCCACCTCGCTGTTTATATAGAAGGCTTATCTTTGGTACTGGTAGTTTGTACTATTTTTTTAAAATATGATCCAGTATAAATTCTAAGCAGCCCTAGGCCCTTACATGCCTAGATATTCAAACTAAGCGTTTTGGAGAGTTGATTTTTAGTCATGGGAATGTGTTGGATTTTTGTGTCATCTGGCAAGTTCTCTGTGAGGAATTGCCTGAAACCACCAATCCAGTTGCCCTCATGACCTTAGCTAAATGTTAATTCATCCTCCAAGGGTCTGCTTCTGCTGGATTAATTTATTATTCTACCTTGGACTCTCAGGCAGACACGGAGGTTATGTTATAAATTATGCATTTGAAGAAATTGCCGATGGTAACATATGGCCTTGATACAACTTTAGACTAAATTCTAATACTTCCTATCAAATTTGCATGATTATTTACTAGATAATAGCCTTAAAAGGGTTATTTTCACAGCACGTGCCACTTTGGTATTTGCTCTCTCTGAAATATAGAATATGCTGCCTTGTAAGGCAAATTTGTCAGGAACTTGTAAGATTTTGACCTGAACAATCACGTGGTTCAGACTGTCCTAGTTAATAGAAATTCCGAAAACTTCTGATTGCTCAGGGTTTTCCCTCCAAGTTGAAGCCTAAAATTTTAAATGTGTTTTTAACAGAACAGGTAAACATGACAGTAATCACAGGTAAGTGGCTGGAGAGTTATTGATACGGAATAAGCTACAGGATTTGGTTAGCAGACAGGGAGTTTAGATTTGGAATTCCTGGATCTGTATTTTAACCAACTCTGTGATTCTGAACTTCTTTGCCCCTTAGTTTATTCGTCTGTAAGTTGAGCAAACTACACTCAACCACATCTGAAGTCCCACCCAATCCGAAACTCTCAGACTTTCTATTACGTGGCAGCTGATGGTGACACAACTACCCAGCTGGCGTCCTACAAGGGCAGTGAGGGCTCCTTATGTATCTCATGCTATAAACATACCCGGTCACTCCTCCAAAGCTCACTTTGTGCAGTGGATTCAAGTCTCCATGGAGTGTTGGCTGGTGAGGGTTCATCTTTCAGCCACATGTTTCCTGTTGTCATACAGTAGGCTCAGTTAAAGGGGACCAGCAGAAAGATGAAATGAGAGAGAATGAGCAGCAAAGAGCTGGCTTTGATTGTAGTGTTGGTCATGTTTGCTGGTTCATGCTATGCTCATCAAACTGGGAGACCCACTCCTGCCCAGGCTAGACTCAGTTGCCAACATGAGCTTGTACCATTGGTCATAAAGACAGCCTGAGCCAAGGAAAAAATGTGGGTGAAGCAAATGCATCAGTACTTCTGGGAATGCAGGTGGAAGTCTGTGCTGCCGGGAAAGAGTCAGTAGTGACCATCTGGGTGGGCCCGTGTGCCAGGCCACGTGGGCCTGAGCTCTTGGGAGAGGGAAACAACAAATTCCCCTTGAAGATGTTGCTGATTATTGTCATAACTAAGATCGTGTGGGCTTCTGAAGGGCCGGCCTTCTCTAAAAATTAGTTACTGAAGGTAGGCCTGGAATAGAACCTGTAAAATCTATTCTCTTTGCCACCCTATGGGCTATATGGTCTATGGAATTCTCCAGATCAGAATACTGGAATGGGTAACCGTTCCCTTCTCCAGGGGATCTTCCCAACCAAGGATCGAATCCAGGTCACCCTCATTGCAGGCGGATTCTTTACCAGCTGAGTCACCAGGGAAGCCCATACTGTTCAGCTCATACTAACTCGTGGAATCCTTTCACACCCAAGTCATAATGACTAAAAACTGAGATGACCTTCAGTTTTATTTAGCTATAATGTTTTATAACCTATCACAAATTAAACTAGTTGTTACCTGTTTGTGAATATTTATGTACTGGAGCCTGGCCTAGAAAACAAACCTACTCTCCTTAATGCCCTTTACAAGACCTTTACATGTATTTTTATTTATTTTATTCTTTAGATAAAACAATTTCTTAGTATTTTCCCCTTCCCAGTTCTTTTGAGGGTGCAGTATTTTGATGCAGCAAATGTTAAGAAAGGGTGTTAAGATGAATATCTATGAAATAAAAAAATCTCTTGCAGAGTCACATGACAACACACTCAAAATTAATTAAGTTGAGTAGAAGATACTTAGTTTTTATCATTTTCATCCCTGTATAATTAAATATATTTGTATAAATAAAAATGCCTGCATTTTCAACATTTTTTCATAAGGAATAATTTATCTCAATAACACGTTTGACAGAATTTAGTATATAAACACCATCGATTTTTATCCTGATTAATTATATTTACTATTGTTTCTAAAATTGCTATAGATCTTTTAGAAATTTGAGAACATTTATATCAATTACAGTAATATTTCTGTCTCAGTCATTGTGGTAAATAGAAATTACAGAAGTTTTGACAAAATGGAAATCATTAAAGAGATACACAGTCTTGGTCAAAATAGCAAATGCTAGCTCTCCCACTGCATGAACACCTGTTATAGGTAAATATGACTATTTTCATTCTGTAGCACCATACCTCACTCTCCTTTCCATAAAACATTTTAACAGATGTGCATTTTGCAAATGTGGACTTCCCAGGTGGCTCAGTGGTAGAGAATCTACCTGCCAATGCAGGAGATGTG